ACATAGGCTCTCCCTTAGATTTTTAAACAAAAGATGTGGCAAGGATTTCATTTATATCATCTTATGACAGGGGCACCTGGGTGGCTCAGTCGGTTAAGCGGCCGACTTTGGCTCAGGTCATGATCTCACAGTTTGTGGTTCAAGCCTCTTGTCAGGCTCTGTGCTGACAGCTCAGAGCCTGCTTCGGATTCTGTGACTCCGTCTCTCTCTCTCTCTCTCTCTCTCTCTCTGCTGCTTACCCGCTTGTGTTCTCTCACTCAGAAATGAATAAACATTAAAAACAACTTGTATCATCTTACAACACAAAGATGCATGACAACAAAGCCCACGGTGCGGCTGCCCCCAGGTTTCGGCCACAGGGCTCTGAATGCAGCCTTTGGAAGGGCTCAGAGGCCGAACTTGGGGTTCACTGGAGATCGTGGGCTCTCGCAAGTTAACATCAGAGGTAATGGACATAAGGACAATAAACGCACAAGGCGCATCATCTGAATATGCCGCAAAAACGTGACATTTCTTTCAAATACACGTACACGCCAGGTGTGAGGTGGGGCAAAAATCCCCGAAGGTGCTTTGCGTGCTGAGATTCTCACTGCACGAGTGTTAACCTCTGTTCGTTATTACAGCAGCAAATTTCTAAACAATTGGTATGGACTTATGCTTTTACGTACAAACATCACGTGGTAAGCAGGGAACAGACACGCTGAGGGCACGTGCTCCTGCCCATGGGCACGTCTGTGCTGGTGCACGCGTGTCTCTGTCCGCCATGGCACTGGGCTCTCTGCTTCCCTTTGCCCCTGACTTTTGTCACAGCGCATGACTTGGTTCGGCCAACGAAACACCGCACAGCTATAGGAACCACTTACTGCCGGAAGCATTAAGCACCTGTGAGTCCTCCCCAGAATGCTTTTCCTTCCATCACGGGAACTGGGCAGAACACTCCTGATGGCGGCTGAGCCTCAGCCTGAGTGCCAGAGTGAAAACAACGCGGGACCTCCGGCCAAGCCACAAGGGATGCGCTCACTGTTTAGGCTGCTGAGATGTACAGGCTGTTTGTTCACAAGGTATCGGTGAGCCTGTCGTGACCGTAACAGTGACATTCGGCTTCCACCCAACCCGGATTTATAGAGGCTTGGCCAACGTGCGTTCTCGATGCACCTCTGGAGCCAGGCCGTGCACTCGTACCCCGTGTGTGAGAGTTCACATCTAATCGTCCCGGAGAAGCAGAGGGCAGGGTGGTTCTTTTTCTCCTGAGGTGCCATAACCCTCTCCTTTGTCCAGAGACTTCTTGCACTGACCACCTGCCCCTCCCCACAGGCTGGGGTTGGACGATGATTTACCCACTTACAGGGGATCTGAGTTCTACTTCTGATGCAAGAGTAGCTTGTGTGTGCTTTTATTTGCTGCGCGTGTTGATTTGCACGGTTTCTCAGAGGTAGCGCAAAACAGCGCAGGTAGGTGGCCTTCTGGAATTCCCAATTCACTCCTGACAGGTATTCTGGCTGGCTGAAGACTCTAGAGTTACATTCTTGAAGCATGTTGAGGCTATCTTCTCATATCTTTGTTGAGAAGTCAGTTTTCAAATAGCCGTTCTTAGAAAATAACTTTTCTCCAGATGCTTTACGACTTTGTCTTTAGTTTCATTAAACTTCATGAGGATGCAGTTTTCCCATTAGCAATTCTCCTCTGGATCCACTGGTCTCTTAAGTCTGTGTGAACTGGTGCATTTCGGTACTTTTGGAAAATATCTCAAGTTACCATCTCTTCAAAGTCTTACTCATTCTCTCTCTTCTCCTCCTGTGTCTCCAAACAAATGTACATCAGGCTTCCTGCCCACACCCTCTACATCTCCTGCCTTCTGTGATTTCCATATTCTTACCCTCCGGGTTTTATTATGGCTATTTCCTTCCAACCACCTTCCAGTTCACTAATGTTCTCTTTATCTGTTTCTAACCACTAAGCTTTTAATTTGATTATCACATTTGCAATTCCAGAAATCCTATTTGGTCATTTTTCAAGTCTCTCAGACAAAATTATACAGTTTCCTATTCCCCTGCAGACACTTTCAAGCTTTCAAGCTTACTTGATTTTATTTCTTTGTACAGAGTAAGGATAATGGTTTCATGGTATATGCCTAAGAATTACAAAAGCACAACATTTTTTTGTAGACCAGCTTCTGTTACCTGTTGTTTCTACTTGGACTTACTTAAGGAGTTTCGAATAGGTGATAAGCTTTGATTAGATGCACATCATATTATTTGAAAGAATTCAGTTCTGGGACCTTGCTCCAGGAAAGAGTTTGCCTCGCTTCTTTTAGGCACTGTGAGTCCTCCATAGAGAAGTACCGTGATTGAGGTTCAAACAACCCTGGTCCTCCCAGGTGACGTGAACCAAGATTACGAGACTGTATGAGAACCGATTCCAATTTTTCCCTCATGGCCCCTCTGCTTGGTCCCAGAACAGTTACAGGCATTTCTCATATTCTCTGTTCTGGGTAGCTAGGGTTTGGGTTGAACTCACTCACTGTAGGAGACATCAAAGCAACAACTCCAGCCGGGACTATTTTTCCAGATTAGCAGATGCCCCCAGAATAATAGCAGCCTTCAGTGCTGGGCTTATCTCTCCGGGCTCCAGAATTCTCTTAGAATGTAGCCAGCAAGTTTTGTCTTTTTGTTGGCAGTTCAATCCTTTTGAGAAACTTTCTGTTTATGCTCTTTCTCTTTCTTTTCTTTCTCTTTCTTTCTCTTTCTTTCTTTCTTTCTTTCTTTCTTTCTTTCTTTCCTTCTTTCTGTCTTTCTTCTTTCTTTCTTTCTCTTTCCTTCCTTCTTTTCTTTCTTGTTTCCCCGTTTGTTTGGTAACTTTAAAACGAATCCTCTCCAGTTTGTGCAGTGGGCAGCTTGGCTGAAATCGTCTGGCTCACCACCACCGGGTGAATTTGAATTTTCCAGTTTTATCCGTGTAATTAACTTCACCTTCTTAATCAACCAGCCCGTGTAGGTGTGCTCCTTCACCAAAGTGCCAAAAAATTCTGAAATAAATACCGTCCTCTCCCCAAAATGCAGAAATGAGGCATTAGCTTTTTTTGTTAAAGCAATTTTGCCTTCCTAACACATCCTGCCCTTCATAAAATCTTTACAGTCCCTGCAAAAGTTCCAAGTCCACAATTTCTCTCTCCAAGAGGTGAGCAATGAAACGGGGGGAGGGTGACCTTCACGCAGCTGAGGCTGGCAGGTTCTCCTCCCGAGCGGTTGTGAAGGTCCTGGTGCCCACCGGCCAGAGGGCCCGACCTCTGCCAACCATGTGTACTTCCCGCTTGGGAAGCTTGGGTATCTACAGGTCATCTGGGGATTTCAGGTTTCATCAGACCAACAGTTACAGATAGGCTACATGGTGTTACCTACTATGTAAACAAATCTTCTCTGTCATGAAGAACTGATCCTTTAAACAAAAAAACTGCTGGATCAAGTACCCTCCTCGGAAATTATGCTGAAAAATGTGATTAATGAAAAAGTACACCTTTGGTTGGGATTCCTTTGGTCACCGTTGCTGCTCTTTCAAACAATCTTCCAGCAAATCTGCAACGGGCCTCTTTCTAAACCACAGCGATGGAGAAAATCAATCTGAGTGTCTCCCCAAACTGCAGCACGGGAACAGATGAACACTAAATACAACCTTCCAACTTCCAGGAAAGTATAAAATACGCCTTCCGAGGGACACAAGAAGAGAAGAAGCTGCTAAGGATGTGTAATTCACATCCACTGCAAATCCTGTTTCCAAGAACGTAAGGAGACAAGAACGTAAGGAGACTGGGGGCAGCCGGGAAGCTGCCGGTGGGGAAAACCCAGCCATCTCGCAGAGATCTCATCACACGGTTAAGAGTGAGTGCAGTTACGGAAGCAGGAAACAGTATTTTGAACAGACAGGTTGGAAAGCAGCTAAATATACTGAATCAATAAAGTATTATTGGAAGAACCGTGAAAAACTTCATCGTATGGAAATCGGGTAATAACCATTAGATCCATCGTCGAAAATGAGATTCAACCAAGGAACAGAATGGAGTTTGCAACTTGTATGACTCCATTTTATAATGTCATCCAACAGTTCCCCAAACCGAGTGCCTTTCCGGGGGTGATGGCTGGAACGGCCACCACCCCATCACATCCTAAGCACAGTACGATCTCTCGACACATCCGGTGAAGTCACCTGCAAAGCTCACGTGAGGCTCTTCGTGAAAGAGCCTTTCTCTTCTCTGTACCTCACCGCTGACCGGCTGGCGTCACAAATCCACGCCTCGTTCTGCTCGGTATCACTTCATTAATGCTCTGTTCGTTAATGTAACAAGCTGTCAGGAGAATATGCCCGGGATGGGCAGGCATTATCTCCCAACTTTCATTTCATTAAACTCTGCTGCTGCAGTATCACAGGCAGTTCCCCTACGATGTATAGGGGAAATTATTTCAAGAATGAACGTAAAAAGTATTTCAAAGCCCCCACTTAAATATGAAAACATAATCTAGAACGGCCGAGCACACACTGTAATTTTTCCATAATATTAAAGACGTTACTTCCAGACTCGGTAATTAATTGGATTCCATGGAGAAATTATGCCAGCATCCTTGGTAGCAAAATGATGCACAAAGGCAGGGAACAGAGTGCCAAAGGACAGCCATAAACAACCATGCTGTCGCCCAGATTATGACAATCATCGGGCTTAATAAGGAGTGAGATCTGCCCGCTTCTGGTACGCGCTCATTATTCCCTGCAAAGTGCCCGCGCTGAATTCTGATTACGTCGCCTTAATCATGGCAAGGGAGAGGCTCTGGCCCAGAAGAATGCCCAGCCCTACCCTGGGGGAGCCGGGCCCCACGGGCTGAGTGAGGACAGCATCGCCCGGGGCCGGGGGGCCAAGCCCGAGCCCCAAGCCTCGCTCCCACCTCCCCCCCCCCGCCCCGCCCCACCCCGCATGGCCCTCAGGGAGGTGGGTGCTCAGGAAGCGGGCTTACCGTCAATCCGGCTCACCAGCTCTTCCAACATTTTCACCTTCATTTGAATCCCAGGCTGGGCAAAGGTATAGTTGTCCTACGGAGAAAATAACAGCGGCTGTCACATGGGTAGAAAATAAAACACACGTTCCGAGGGGGAAAAGACAGTGGAGCAAAGGTGAACACTTTCACAGCAGAACAAGTTCCCCAACTAGACTCATGTGTTACACACCAGACCGCGTCACAAGGCCAACACACAGCGCAATCCGGTTCGAGGTCGGGTCCAGCCCCTTCCTGACATCAGAGGGTGGGCACACCCATCTCAGGGGTATTCACTGGAGCATCTCTTTATGTAAAGGTAGATGTTTACATTTAAAGTGAACAAACGGGGTGGGGGGGGGGGGCGCCTGGGTGGCTCAGTCAGTTAAGCGGCCGACTTCGGCTCCGGTCATGATCTCGCGGTTTGTGGGTCCGAGCCCCGTGTCAGGCTCTGTGCTGACAGCTCAGAGCCTGGAGCCTGCTTCGGATTCTGTGTCTCCCCCCCTCTCTACCCCTCCCCTGCTCAAGCTCTGTCTTTCTGTCTGTCTCTCTCAAAAATAAGTAAACATTAAACAAAACCCACAGTGAACAAACAGGCCCCCTGAGAAGTGCATGCTGGGTGCCGCTGCCTGGCTGGCGCACGGGCAGGAGGGACTCGGTGTCGCCGCAGGAGCAGGTGCGGAACGGTGGCCGGGCCAGTACCGACGGTGCTGGCGTCACGCCCACGGTCCAAGGGCCAATGACACGGCCACTGCACGAGGACAGCGTGAGTGGGAGACCATTCTTAGTGAAGCCGGGTGAAGAAGGTGAAGGCATCGAGTGGGACAAGTCCTCGGTCAGACGGACCTGGAAAGGGAGCCCTGCTCTACTACTCAGGAGCTGTGTGGCCTTGGCAAGCGACATCCCCTCTCGGGGCTCGTTTTGTCATCCATACCGTGAGAATAATGCTGCCTTCTAGGCCTTCCTGACAAGGAAACCAGGTCAGGGGAAAAGGCTGGCGGGTCCAAGGCACCAGAGGCGCGAGAAACAAGGACGGGGCCCCAGCCAGCCTCCGGTCACCCTCCGAAGAGCCACTGGGCTCCCACAGGCACAAGCGTTCCCACGGGGACACACAGGTAAGGCAGAGACAACCCCAAAGAGGTCCATGTCCAGAGCTGGCCAAAGGGCACGGAGGTGTTGATCCACTGACCATGAGGAGTTATCCCACTGTGGTCATGGGGTCCTGACAAGTAGAAGGGGAGGAGGAGAGTTTGTGTGAGCACAAGAAAGACTCGACCCGCCATGGCAGCTCTGAAGATGGAGAAAGGGGCCGGAGCCAAGGGCACCATCTGGGAAAAGCCAAGGTTATGAGTTCTCCCTGGAGCCTCCAGGAAGGATGCGGCCCGGCCCACACCTTGGTTTAGCCCCAAGAGACACACATCAGAACCCTGGCCTCCAGAACCGCGAGATAATAAATAACCTGTGTTGTTTTTAAGCCACTAAGCCTGTGGTGATTTGTTACAGCAGCAACAGGAAATGGATACGGGAGGTTTGGACGATGTTTTTTACCGGGGCCCCAGGGACCCACTGAAATAAAAGGATGAAGGGCGCCTCGGGGCTCGGTTGGTTAAGCGTCTGACTCTTGATATGGGCTGAAGTCATGATCCCAGGGTCGTGGGTTCAAGCCCCACATCGGGCTCTGCACTGAGCGTGGAGCCTGCTTAGGAGTCTCTTCCTCTCCCTCTGCCCCTCTCCCCTGCTCCCTCTCTCTCTCTCTCCCTCTCTTCCCCATAAAAAAAAAAAAAAAAGTGCCTACAAGGCAGTGAGGGTTTTTTCCCCACGGACATGGAAAATGGACAGAGTCGGCCCCGATCGCTCACCGGGCGATGTCCCCCAAGTAGATTTCGAGTGACAGGCACCAGGCTCCAAGCCAGGGCGTCTCTGCGAGCGCAAGACCAGGAAGAGTTGCGTGCACCGACCTAACCCAGAGCAACACCGAGGCACAAAACATGGGCGCTCCCGAGGGGGCCCCTCGGGTGCCTGGCATGACCGTCTCCAAGATCTGGTGACAGGCCTGTGTGTCCTGCTAAACTCTGAGCTCTGGAGAAGCAAGGCCTGTCAGGGACTCCTGTTTAATGGGCAGGACTCCTGGGCCTGAAGGAGCCGTGCACGTCCCGACACAGCAGCACCCATTAAGGACAGAGCGTAACAGGGAAAAGAAATTTGGGGCTTGGACTTGAGCTTTTGCAAGGGTTAGCCTTCGAGACTTCATTTCTCCCTGGAAACTGGATAACAGAAGGAGACTTATATTCAAATTTGGAGCGCACTGCCTGGTTGGAAGTCTATAGGCTGTCATCCGACTGCCCAGCAGAACTTCTGATGAGCCGGGGCCAACAGCAGACCTGGATATGGTTCAGCATGAGGAAGAAACTGCAGAGTGACCCTGACGCCTTGCAGATCATTCCATTAACGCTCAGTTCTGGCAAATTCCAGAGCCATCAAGGGCACATTCCAACACCCTCCCCCAGGGGTCCCAGGAGAACGGTCGAAGGTGCAGGAGCTTCACTTCGAGTCCGGGCCGGGCCGTGGACTTCCTCCCCTCCTCCGAGGAATTCAGCAGCAGACACTCCTGCACCGTCTCTATCCCCAGAACACTCACTGCAAAGAGGCAGCTTCTCAACTGCTAAGCCCGGCAGCCAAGCCCAGCAGAATAGGCAGGCTGTGGGCTCAGCCCTCCTTCCACCGCTCAGAGCCAGCTAATCCCCCAGGAAGGCTGCTCCCCAGGAAAGCTCTCCACTCGGTGCCCCAGGGCGGCTCTGCCGCGTGGGCGGTCGGCCTGCCCTGCCCCAGCGCTGGCTCCGACGGGGTGGGTAAGCCTGACTAAGCCTGGGATTCAGTCAGGCAGTTTATTTGGCTCTCACACTGAGATAGGATTTCAAGATTCTCATTTAGAAGAAATAAAAGGTATTCCTCAGTCTCCATCTGCCACTATTTTGTTTTATTTCTCAATTTGTTCAAAACCCAGGTAGGGAAGATAGGTTTTCTTGGAAATCCAAACAACGTGAAAAGAAGAACAGCTGAGAGCCTTTAAAATTAAAAAAAAAAAAAAAAAAAAAAAAAAATCTGTATTTTAAAAGGACCAGAAAAGACTGATGAGGCAGGGGCTTGGTATTCTGGATGTGAGTCACAGGCAGAGAAGACCGGCCTTCAGACAGGCTCTGACCCTGATGACAAGATGGAGCTCGGAGGGCAGCGCCCAGCGAGGAGACCACATCGGTCAGCGGAGGGGACCCAGGCTGTGGATGGCCCCACTCAGCAGCCAGCCAGCCTTTGAAGGGCCTGCCAAGGAAGGACAAGGTGTACGGGGAGAGGAATATTCTGCGACCCTAGTAACAGCCCCTCTGGGAGGCACGTGGCACTCATGCCCTCCCAAGGGGGTGCCCGCGGCCCAAGACCCCACAGGAGCAGCGCCTCTGATCAGTCCGCGGGTTCTGCCTGCTCAAGGCCAGGACACCACCCCCAGCACCCGGTCCAAACACACACCTGCACACGCACTTTGTGCAGAACACATCTGCTAAGTGACGCGGTGAACGGGCACACGAGATGCTACACATTGATAGAGATGTGAACAGTAATAATATCACTCCCTTCACAAAAAAGTAAACATTCATACCCTTCCAAACTGAGATCTGATTCTATGTCTTTCAAAAAGAATACAATACACAAAACTTACTGGCGGGAGGAAGAAAGGTCTGAGGAATACAGTGACCTCTTGGGGAATGTTTACAGGGGGAAAAGTCTGCGTTCGCAAGAAACCATCAAAGCAGGCGCACACGGGGCGGGGGGGGGCCTCGCATCTGCTACCTTCCACCTCACACTCTGGCAATAACAAATAGCACTTCCTGTGCTCTTCAGGAGAAAAGGAGAATAACATGTTTTGAAGGAGCACTTCAGGGAAGAGCTGAAAATTAAATTCACAGGGGCTCAGCTGGAAGGACCCACAGCACCCACCTACTGAGGCACGCAGCTCCAGGGGCGCTAGGAACCCCGCCTGCACCTGACAGGGGCTGTGCCCTGGACCAGCCCCGCCTCCTGGCCTGCCTCCAGGCCCGCCCCCCCCGGCCCGCCTCCTGAGCCCCGCCTCCCGAGCCCCTCCTCCTGGTCCGCCTCCAGAGCCCCGCCTCCTGGCCAGCCTCTAGAGCCCCTCCTCCTGGCCCGCCTCCAGAGCCCCGCCTCCAAAGCCCCGCCTCCTGGTCCGCCTCCAGAACCCCGCCTCCTGGCCCGCCTCCAGAGCCCCGCCTCCTAGAACTTGGTTTCCCTCTTACTCTGAAACCACGTCACCCTCCTCACCCCCCTGGACCTGCCCCCAAACAACTCGGCAAGCCCTTTCCCCAAACACCGGCCTGAAAGACTTCTGTGGCCTTCGCCCCCAGGCCATCTGGCACAGCCCCGGACAAAGTGTCCCACGGGGGCCCTGGCAGCACACAGGTGAGACAGCAAATGTGGCAGCCACAGCCACGCTCGGCGCTCGCCCATCGGGACGTCACCCCGGTTACCGCAAGGAACGCAGCATCCGATACACGGCCCCACGGTGTCGGACTGTAAGCGCCTTCACTGCCCCAGGAACCACTTACTGCATCCTGCCGTGGGCCAGGCGACACGCCGAGTCCCGGCACAGATGGGACTGCCGTCCTCAGACAGGCTTGTGTGCAAGGCCAGCCCTCCCTCCCTCGGCTGGTGCCTGAGTGTTTCTGGAGTGTTCCCGTCATTCCCTAACAAGGAAGAAACGCCCAGGGTGCCTCAACTGACAGTGTAGCTTATGCTGAACTGCGTTCCTTCCAGAGTCTGGAATTCTGAAAAATGCCAGGCAGAGGGTGTCCAGGTGACGAGCTCTCAAGAGAAGCCGGCACGGAGTCTCTGACAAGCTCCCTGGAGGACATTTCACACCTGCCGCCAGGACTCGCCGCCGGGGGTGTTAACCTCCACCAGGGCAGGCCACGAGGAAGCTTACCCCTGTTGCCTCTGTGCCTCCCCCCACCCCGCCCCCCGCTTGGCTGGCTCTGCTCTACATGCCGGCCC